GTTGATTTGCTGTCTGAGACGAAGTGAATGTTCAAGGTGGTATGCATGATATACTTGTTTCCAAGTATTATAAGCATATTGGAGCCATAGTTGAACAGTATAGTAGTCAAGTGATGGTAGAGATTGAAGATTGCATTTTGAATAGCTATTGATTGTAAGGATTTGAGAGTTAATGTATGGAAGATAGAGTTGGGAGAAATTGTTGTTGGCAGTACTGTTGAAAGTTTTGATAAGATGGCAAGTTTTTTAAGTCCAATGTGGAGTGCTGTATATTGTGGACTGTATTTATGATTGTAGCTTCATTTGCGAGAGACTTTATTAGAGATTGTTTTAATTGCTGCATGTGTGATACTATGCTGGATTTTGTCCATGTTGTATCAATACTTTCATTAGTATCTATGGTAGTTGGGACATGACTTTGAACCAATAGTCGTGTAGTGAGCTCTGAGAACTTGAGCCATTGTTCACAAGAGGTGGCCTTGTAATTAAATATTCGACAACTGATATTGGTATAGTGGAAAGCATTAGGTGATCGCTAAGAGTGCAGGTTTTGCTATTGTCAATATTGTATGAGAGAAGGAATTGTATATATATATATTTTTTTTTTTTTTTTTTTTTTAAACCGATGTCACGGTTGCTAACGCTTTATTGTGTTTTTTATGTTTTATTACAAACATTTTTGGTACATTGATAAACATACAACTAGCCACACGTACAACTTTTGGTTGCCTATTTAAGTAGTCCGCCCGAAGGTTCTACACTAGCTACCATACCTGCAACCTGCTAGGAGATTGCCTATTTAAACCCTCTGATCTTCTGTACCCACTTAGCAGTTAGCACCATAAGTTCCTGTACACCAAGGTGCTGTCTAACTCGACATATGGTTTCTCTTTCTGTGCTAGGAACCCAGGCCGTACCCAATTTAATGAGTACTGTCACCCAGTAGCAAGGCTCAGGGTGCCTCCCTGTCAACAACCTACCCACTCTATAGTCCTATCAACAGGGCTATGCCCTTGCAAAGTTCACCCAAACCCCGGTACCTACTTCACAGCATATCCCCAGTACTTCGGTTCCCCTCCACTTTAGACCTAGACTACCAATCCAGATGGCCCGGAAGTACTGTAACTTGTCCTTGGCTCATCGGCTCTGCCATGACCTTTTCCTCTTGTTAACCCGGCGGCCTGGTTGGTGGATCGGCTTTACCACAGACCGATCGTGCCCTGTCCAGTTTTTCTACTTTAGTTTCTCTTTTCCCAGGTCTAGCCTTTACAGTAGTACCGTCGAAAATTTGTGCTACCTCTTTACTCGGGTCTTCCCAAATGGACTCCTGTCCCCCCAGTCCTACGGATTTACGTGACCTAGGGACTTATCGAGTGTTTGCACCGCCCATTGCCGGTTTGCATTCCTCTGTGTAACCCAAAGCTGCATGGATGCCCCATACCTGCCAGTCATGCTAGTGCGACCGTAGTTACAGGTATCCTATCCCAACTGATCGACGGAAGACAGTTGCCGTAGCACAGATAATTATTCGAA